GGGGGTAGGAAGGAACTAGACCTGGCAAAAACGACCCAACCTGCTTTTAACCCGTAACCCGACTTGAACATGCTGGGTTTTGAACAAAAGTTTTGATGACCGAACCCGAAATGACCCGCTAAAAATGGATCAAACCCAACTGAACCCGAACCCGACCCAACTGACCCGCTAATGTAAGACTTTTTCAAAATCATATACTTTTCTACTCATTTTTAGTATATAAATTTATATTTTCGGATAAATTTTTAATGATATTGCATAAATATCTTATTTCTTTTCTAAAGCTTATGCATTTTTTTAATTTCTTAGATTGATTTATATATCTAAAAAGTACTTTAGAATTTAAAATAAAATAAACTAATAGATTTAATACATGTTGTTTAATATTTTACATTTATTCAATACGAAATGCAAGTGTTAATGTGAATTTAAAAATTTAAAACCAAAGACATAACCCGTTGGGTCAACCCGAACCCGATGACACTGGGTCATGAACATACAATTCTCAACCGGAACCCGAATTGACCCGGACCCGAAGCGATTGAACCTGAACCCGACCTGACCGACCGATTTGCCAGCTCTAGTAGGAACCATCAATGTTACGACTGGAGTGCCGTATTTTCCCTGTGTTATTTTATTGTCAAAAGATTCAATGTCAAAATAACCGTATTGCCCTGTGTTATTTTATTGTCAAAAGATCCATCCATTGTGATATTCATATATGGTTTCTTATAGACACTAGACAATTGAGATCAACCATATTATTTAGTTTTGTTGTGATAACGAAAACGTACTGATCAGGTTACACCGTTACAGACGATAAATTTATGACTAAGATATCTTTATGGATTCCGGAATCTGGTCTAATTACTACCTAAGCAGGTTCATCTTACTGAGCGAGAGAAACAGAGATTACAAGTTTGGTCTCACATCATGCCTTACCGAGAGCCATTTGCCTGGGCCATCATCCCACTCTTTGATGGCAGTATTTGTGCTGCTGCTGGTGGCTCTACTTCCCCTAGCAGCCCCCTTTCTTCAAGCATTTCGGGCTATGGTTGTCAAGAGGGTGTTGTTGAGCCTGTTGCTAAGATCACACCAGATGGAAAGCTTGGTCACTCAAATGGAAACTCCATTGTGGTTGAAGTCTCTAACTTAAATAAAGTTAAAGAAGGCTACACAGAGGATTCACTCCAGGTTAACTTATATGCTCCATTTATTGTTTCATGTTTTCTGCTTCTACTTGTCCACTCTTTGAAAGCAATCGTTTGATTGTCTAGGAAAACATCTCACTTTGGCTTAATTGAAAGTCTTAGGCTAATTTCTACTTTTCATGTTTCTTGGATCATTACCCTTTAATGCAATCTGTTCACTTTTCCCATGTTGGGATTTTTTTGCTTGAATATAACTTATGTTTCTGCAAAAGAAAGGTTTTTGCTTTAGGTGGTTGATACTAAGGTGCTTTTGAACTTCAATAATGCCTGTAGAAAAACACTCATAAAAAGTGATGAAATAAGAAGTTGAATAGAGAGAACGATGAAAGTAAGCATATGTTTTGAATGTCTCCTTGATGACTTAATAGTGTTGTTGGGAGTAAGGGCTTAAAGATTCTGAAATCTAAAGGACAATTGAGGGAAATTGTCTTTAATCATGGAGGTGGATGACAGTATGGGACATAGAAATAACCGGAAGTGGATAATTGACATTGTCTTTGATGTGGAAACTATAATTCTTGAAGAAAATCTCGTTCTTTTTAAATTTGTAACTTTGAGGAAAAAGAAGAAAAAGAACTGCACCCGTGCTCTTTTGAATGACTTCCTGACATGTAAATCTAATCTTGTTTCGTCATCTATAGACATCTTCTCTATGTATTCCCTATAATTTTTGTATTGTTATTCTATTACTTATATATATATATATATATATATATATATATTCTTTGAAGATTCTTGTTGATAATTTTAATATTTTTAAATATAATTTGTCTAACAGCAGGATCCGAAGCGAAAAGTTCATAAACCAGTAAAAGGCGTGCTGAGGCTGGAAATTGAAAAACTGCAAACCAATTATGTTGATTTTGAACATTTGGAAAGTGGGAGTATGAACTTTGATTCGGTAGAAAATGGACTTCCAAATTCATTTGAGAGGAAACAAATGGCAAGAAATGGATCATTTGCCAATGAAAATGCAGATTTCGCTTCTGATGATGCAAGTCTTTAACACTGCTTCTTAGCATTTATGTGTAGAGTTATATCACTATGTTTTTTCAGAAAGAATGCTCAAATGAATAATCATAGAATCCCATTTAGATATATATATATATATATATATGTATATGTATATGTATATGTATATGTATATATATATATATATCTGTGTGCAGTGTTTTATACTATTTTTTGTTTGAGCTTTCTAAGTGTATTCACTTGTTAGAATTAACTATGTGAATTTGCAGTTTGAAGCTTTTGACTTTCGCACTACGACAAGGAACGAACCATTCTTGCAGCTTTTTCATTGCCTCTATGTCTATCCCTTGACTGTAAACATGAGTAGGAAAAGGAATATGTTTATACGAATTGAACTTAGAAAAGATGATGCAGATATTTCTTATCCACCTCTAGAGGTTTGTGTGTATGGCACTACATCCGAGAAATTTTCCCTTGCTACTTTCTATATATTTGTTTCAAAGTAATATAGCAGTTTGTTTATGGGCTGAAGCATAGCTGATTTTGAGTTAATATTTACTTAACAGGCAATGCATCCCAGGGCACCAGGTGCATCACTTCAGAAGTGGGTTCATACACAAGTTGCTGTTGGGACTAGGGTTGCCAACTACCATGATGAAATTAAAGTTTCTCTGCCTGCAATTTGCACACCAATGCATCACCTTTTGTTTACTTTTTTTCATGTTGACCTTCAAACAAAGCTTGAAGCTCCAAAACCAGTGAGTAGTGTTTGACAATTTATACCATGCCTCACAGTTTTCCTTTTCATTTTACATGCTTATATTTTCTGTCTAGTTTACAAGTCACTTGTTTTCAGATAGTTATCCCACCACCCTCACAATATTTTTAATTATCTAGATTTAAATTTTCTGTCCAGTTCACGGATCACCAATCCATGTCAGATAATGCCTTGCAATCTAACATTAACAGAACTTTGATTTTTTTTTAAAGCACAACTACTACATACATATTTTTATTTTTCTGTCACTGCTGGTTTATTGGTTTCTTAATTTGCCTCTACAGGTAGTAATTGGATATGCTTCACTTCCGCTATCCCTTCATGCTCAGTAAGCTTTTTTCTTCAGATTCAGTTTCTGATCTTTGCTTATATCACATTTATCTCCCCATTCCTCAAACAGTGTTGTCACTAATGAGCTGAATTAGATTTTGCAATCCTGTTAGCTAGAAGAATGTAGTAATTGGGATAATTATTGACAATCAACTAATGAAGGGCATAGTTTAAGTGTACAAGAAGAGGGAAAGGGGTATGAGAACAATAATTATTTCTTGTAAACAGAATATTATTGTCAATTGTGCATTTGTGCCTATGCACCACAGATGGGCATATAAGAATCAATTAAAAATCAATTTTGGGATGACTTGCACATTGTGGTTTAAGGGGGAAGCTGTTTATTGGCAGGAACGCGGACCTTATTGAACATATTGCGTTTAGCTGCAAGGAATTAGATACTACTCATGGTGGATTTGGGTATAAGAGCAAAAATAATGAGGGATAGACTACTTTGGATATTGAAGTGACTTATGACCTCATAATGGCTTCCATGTCTCACCAAGAGCACATGGTACATAAGAAAAGTGAGCGGGATGTGAAGATATTGGTGGACAACCAAATACCAAAATAGATTCTCCCTTTGTGCATGTAGCCGGCTCTAGGGATTTGATATTAAAGCTTGTTTGTTGTTGCCCGACCAAGTGGCTGTATATCACCCTCCTGTTTTTTTATTTCTTCAAAAAACTTGTATTCGATGCTAAGTGAATTTGTAAAAAAAGTATGACTGGCCAGAACTAGCCAACCCACCTAGTTGGAGATTAGGTCTGTGATGTTAGCTTCTCCAGGCTGATAACTCTATTTGGAAATTGTCCCATACTTTGTTTGCAACAGTAGTAGAGGGCAGCTTTACATTGTTGTTGATGTCCTAACATTGGTTGGCTTATTTAATATTTTCCCTTGTATTCTTCAATTTATCTCAATCATTTTTTAAAAGAAAATGGGAACATATTTGATAGATACATGTTACTGGCATACTGGCTTTATTCTTTAGAAATAAACTTGATTAACAGTTACAAAATCACTACATCTTTTTCGTATGTAATATTACTTTTAACCAATCTGTGACTTTGAGAAACAATTGTTCCAAGTTCCAACCATTCAAACTTATATTCTAATTTGTATCTCTAATGTCAAATTTCTATGACTGTTTCTAATTTAATTCAGGCCCAAATCTGAGATCTCCTTACCAATCATGAAAGAGTTAGTTCCTCATTATCTCCAAGACATTGGCAAGGTGTGTCTTCTGTAGTTTGTTGGGTTTATTTTTCCGATGTGATAAGTTAAAAACATATTAGAAGGAAATCATTTGCAAAAGATAGGTTACATGTGGATCTGTGTTGTCTCATTTGGGCTGCGCACATGATTTACTCTATCCATTTTAGATGTTAACCCATTAATAAAGTACTCCCTCAATCGTGAAATTTTCTTCTCATTTGACTTTTCACGGTGTTCTATGGAACACTTTGACCATTAATCTCTCTCTCTCTCTCTCTCTATATATATATATATATCCTGTCCCAAAAAAGGCTCTTAGTTTGACATGCCACAAAGTTTAAGGAAAGGAAAATGTGTGGTTGAAAGTGATGCAGAGGAGAGAAAGATTGTGAGTCATTCAAAAATTTCCAAGAAAAAGAATGAAGAGTCTTTTTTTGGGTCGCCCCAAAAAGGAAATAAGGACTTTTTTGGTACCAAGGGAGTATATTATAAATAATAGGATATTTCAAAGCTACATTTCAACAAAAATCTTTTGATATTATATCATAACACAATGTATTTTTTCACATATTGTGGTCAATGTTTTATAAACATTGACCAATAAAAGTCAAATGAGAAATACAATTTTTGGGCGGACGGAGTAATACATATTTCTTACTCAAGTCATCCTAAAAACATTATAGGTTATATTATTTTGGATGGACCAAAAAGGAATGTAGGTCATATATAATGGGATAGAGGGCGTATGAATACTGATGGGGAAGGGTAATGATGGATAGTGAACCCCTAATGTTTTCTTGATATTCCAAAGTGATAGTTAGTTCATAACAATTTCCCCCTCTAATGCATAAAATAAAAGAGAATAGGTTAACAAATATATTATTTACTTTGTATGCATATATTACGAGGAAAGTTGTGTGTTAAAAGCATAGTATGTACCTTTACATCCCACACATCGTATTATTTTTAATAACGTACTAGTCTTTCAATTAGTATTAGTGAAACGTTATCCATAAATAATATTGTAAATTGTACGGAGTAATACATATGAGAATTATAAATAAATACCAAGACTTAGAGAGGGTTTTATAGGCCAAACTCTAAATTGAAACGTAAAGTACAATCCCATTACGTTCTTTACCTATTTGTGTGATCAATTATCCTTCGTGACCAATACAACAACAACATTATCCCAGTGCCTCAACAGCTCCCGCCCATTGCGGGATAAGGGGGAGGGGTCGGATGTACACAGTCTTACCCCTATGTTTAAAACATAGAGCGGCTGTTTCCAGATGACCCATGGTGAGCGTCAAAAGTATCTAGTTCTATGCACCCATCAGGCAACGTCGTGAGGCATAACATATAGTAAGGGATTATTTGAGGCTAGCTGGAAAATAAGTATGCACCCAAGGTGAGCTCATTTCTTAGGTGAAAATTTTTCTAGCCTAGGCGTGGATTCTTACATTAATGCTTGTGACATGGTTGAATCTACCCTCTTTCTGGCTAATAGAGATATCTTAGCGACGAAGTTTTTTTCATGGATTTTATTACTAATTGAGAATTCCAATTCTCACAATCGAAGCATCACTCTTCAGGGGTGCTACAACAGGTCCCATAGATGTTTAGAAGTAAAGCTAAAATTTAATCTTTAAATTATAGCACGCTCTCTTCAATTCTTCAACTTATTCTTATTGGAATCAGACCATACTAGATAAAAAACAAATTTAAATATAACTAGAATCAGATTGGTTCACACCAAATCAAATAAAAACCTTAATAAAAATCAAATTAGATCAGACAAAAAGAACATGCTCTTAGAAATAATAATTCCATATTACACTGCCCTGCACAATATGATGGTGGGCAACCGTGAATAAACACAATAATGCATTATATATTGCTTACTAGTAGACTTCTTAGCCTTTTGACTATAGCCAACTAGCTATAAGAGAACTAGAGTCCAACGTAGGAACTAATTAGAGGGAGTGCCAACTTAGGAAATGAATGAACATGGCTTGCACATGTAACCACGTTGATATGTACATGGAGGAATAAATAGATATTGTGATATACTATGGCCTATGGGTGGTACATTGGCACATGAAGGATATCTAAGGACTTAGCAAGATATCTTTGATATTAGATTTCAAGAGTGATGCAAAATTTAAAGGGTAAGATCCATTGACATATGCAGTTGGACTACAACATTTTATTCTTTTTGCAACCATGAGTTTTCCAAGAAAACACATTTATTAGATTTGGCTGATAGTTTATCACAATTTCGGATAACGTCTCGAACGAAACCAATGCCAAAAAGTTTTCAATGGAAGCTCATAAAGGGGGTCATGAGGAAATGGTAAGGTATTTTTCCATAGAAGATGAATGATGGCATACCTTTGATAATACAACAAGAATAAAGAATAACATTATTATTTAGAGGCGGTGGAACCTTATTATTGAATGAGCATTTTACATTATTATGAGCATGTTGTCAAAAAGAGGCCATGGCTGAAAGTGGTGACAAAAGTAGAGCCTGCCACCATCTCATGGAAAATGTCATCCTACAAAGTGGCTGGAAACTGTCTCACGTCCCATATCAAGACAACAAAGTTCTTAGGCGGCGGTCATGAAAAGTGTCCTCTTCTGTTGTTTTCTTGAAAGAGGTTTTGAGCAAAATGACTTTACTAGAAAACCTCTCCAAGGAACAGTCAATATGCAATGATCAATGAGCTAGAATGTGAAACATCTCTGCTCATGCCAAATACGACTTTTTGTGAGAAAAAACACAAACTATATAAGCATGTTAAATATGCAATGAATTTTATGAAGAATATTAACAACACGTAGATTAGATGCAATCATAAGGGATTTTGAATCCTTGAGGGTGATGTGGAGCTTGATGGGGATGTTGCACATTGTATTGGTGTCACTTGGATAAAGTGGAACATTGCTTCAAGGGCCCTTTGAGACAAGTGGATATCGACGAATCAGAAAGGAAAGTTTTACTGTTAGACCTACTTTGCTATATGCTGCAACAGAGTGTTGGGCTGTGAAGGATGCTGAGGTTCAGAGGCTACAAGTGGCAGAGATGAGGATGCTGAGGTGGATGTGTGGTCGTATGAGGATGGATAAAAATCCAGAACAAAAATATTCGGGGGAAGTGTGAGAGTGGTTTCTGTGGAGGATAAGTTGTGTGAATCTAGACTGAGATGGTTTGGACACATACAGAGGAGAGTTACAGATGCACAGTAAGGAGGTGCGCGAGGCTTGAGGTAGGGGGCTTGAGGAGGGGTAGAGGTAGACCTAAGAACACTTGGTAGGAAGTGAGGAGGTCCTTTGGGCCATACTTTGCGTCTTCTTGCTTGTGTGCCTTGTTTGAAGTTTCTACTTGTGTGCTTGTTTTGTTTTTCTCTCTTTGTTTGTGCTACTTTCATTTGTTGTTGCGCTCCTTTGTCTTAAGCCAAGGGTTTTCTAGAAACACCCTCTCTACTTTCAGGGTAGGGGCAACATCTGCGTATGTGGCGTTTTACAGAGATTGTTGTTGTCATTGTTACTATTGTTATGGTTTTCGTCTATGCTTCAACTCATCCCGGTCTCTGGATTCTTTTTTTCAGGAAAGGATGGATTACATAGAGGATGGTAAAAGTATTTTCAAGCTTCGCTTACGACTGTGTTCGTCTTTATATCCTATCAGTGACCGAATTAGGGATCTTTTCCTTGAGTATGATAGGCACACTCTTCGAACAAGTCCACCTTGGGGATCTGAGCTTCTGGAGGTACATTTTTATTTTCATAGACACAGACTATGACTCACAAGCTACACAACACTCACTACTTCATAATCATGAGGTCATTTGGACCATCTCTAGTTATAAGCTCTTTTGTCCTTGAAATTAATAATCTTTTTTCTTATTGAGAAGCGATTTGTTGAAGAAGGTTGATTTTATAGCTTTTCTAGTATTTGTTGACATCTGAGCTCAATTATATTGCAGGCTATTAATAGTTTGAAGAATGTTGATTCAACTGCTTTGCTTCAATTTTTATATCCAATTTTGAATATGCTTCTTCATCTCATAAGCAATGGTGGAGAAACCCTTCAGGTTTGACAATTTGTTGCAGTGGTTAATGCTTATTGTCTTTGTTAATTCCTTATCTACTCTCCATCTCACTATTTTTAGGACATGAGGGTGTGACATGAAAATTAACAAAGTATTTTCCCCTCAATTGTACACAAATAGTCGTACCTCTATTT